TGTTTCTTTATTTCCCTTCTGCACAAACTGTCTAGCTCTTCCGCACTTTGCAAAAAAGGGAGCAGACAGAACTTTGATACTGCATCAAAAAGGGTTTTTTTTTCTACTTGGTCTCAGACACTTTATGTAATCTGAGGATCTACCAATTATTAATACATCTGCCTTTTTCATCATACAGGCACATCCCTGTTTCTAGGGATCAGTGATTCTAGGACTAGTGAAATAAAATTATCTATTAGGATCTTTTCATATCTAGCAACTTTATAGGTTAGTAAATGTCCAGCTGAGGCAACTGGATGATGATGATGATGATGATGATGATGAACAGGTAAATGATGATGAACAGCTGATTTCTTTCCCCAAGGGTCATGCTTATTGCTTCACAGAATGTTTACTTTGTGTTGTTGTAATTTTGTGCCTAACCTGATCCTCTCTCTGCATGATTAAGAGCCTATCGAGCAGTACTGCTGTCAAATCTCTAAGTAGCCCAGACATTTGCTAAGTGGTGGGATTTACACTTAGACCAAAAAAGACAACATATATTTCAAGGAGCCAGTGCTTAAAACACCAGTAATTCTAATTCATTAAAAGTTAAGAGTTTTTCATCCAAATCAGAGTTATTCTTAGTGGGCACATCTACACTTGCAATTAATGCACAAGAATAAACTCGGGAGTGTGTGTGTGTGTGTGTGTGTGTGTGTGTGTGTGTTGGCACTCCCAGTAGTAGGTGGGTTATTCACCATTGTTTTAGTCTCCTGTTTATGCCTGCTGTTACGCTTGAAGAGCACTCAGATAAACCTTTTGTTTTACACAATTAAGATGGTGGCCCACAATAAAGATGGTGGCCCTGTCTGATCTCAGTGAGACAAACAATCCCTGCAATACACAAAACTGGCTAATGGGATGGGATCCCAGCGAGCAGGATGTTTCCAGAGTCCCATTCTGAATACATACCAAGTGCTACAAGGTTGCTCAGAGCCCAGTCCAAAAGGTTTCTTCTTTCCCATGGAGTATTCTGTGTAGCTGCTTTCCATGATGGCCACTGTCCTGGGATTTCTACAATAACCAGATCTTCTAACTACCTGGAAGATAACAGATGACTAAGGCTAACAAGAAATGCACTGTGTTACTGAGAGTCATTGCCTCAAAGTCTTTTGACACTGTTCACTGACTTGTGTCCCTGGCCAAGCCCTGTAACAAGTCCTCATACTGTTAGGAATCAGGATTAAGTGATATTCAGGTGAAGTCCAAGAACTGGGTTCAGAAGAAGCCAAAGTCAGTGACAAATCTGGGGAACACAAGGAGTTAGAGCCAAAGTCAGGGCACGTCAGGAGTCAGTGCCAGAGTTATAATAAGCAAGTGAAGGAAGCACAGAGGGATTAGGTGCAAGTACCATGGTCTTTTCCTGGGCAGGATACTGCTGGCAGGCAAGTGCATAGCACCTACTGAAACCTGCACGTATACGTACACTCAAGGTCAATGTAGCACCAGCAGGGTAGCTAAAGAGAGGGTACCAGCTCTGGGTGCCAAGTTAGGGAGGATATAAAGCTAGCAGCTGCTGCACCGTGATGTTGGCCCAGCTGCTGCCACTTCCAGAACCACCACCATTGATGCTGCTCTTTACATTGCACTATCCAGGGCACGGAACTGCCTAGGTATGCCTCTGGATAGCCCACACAGGGGTATAGGGGAAGAGCAACCACCTTTATTGTACAAAGAACTCAGGGCTGCATGTCATGGAGGCTATGTGGACACCCCTAGGTCCCCCACTACATGCGGTCTCTGCTGTAAGCCCCCCACTGCTACTGCTGCTCAGGCCCCCTTTCTCACCCCCAACCCCTTGCCATGCAAGCCTGTCACACCACACCATCACATAGGCGATTTTCCCCTCTCCCTCTGCCACTGCCTTATGAGTACTTCAAGCCACCCACCTAAGTCCCATTGGCTGATGCTGGCACATGGGCAGGGAGCTCACCAGGCCTTGCCATGTTGACCTGGCTCAGAAACCTCAGTTGTTGCTAGTACAGAGAAACAGGATAGGAGCCCAGGGGCCACACAGCCTGCAGGCCATCATTTGGACCACCCTGGCTCAAATGAATACTTCTCAAACAAAACAGCAGGCATGAACAGGAGATAAAAACAATGTGGAATAATGCCACCCATTGGCAGAAATGCGTAACACATATACATAACACTGGATGCATTTTACACAAGATACTAAATGTGCATTAGACTAATTCTACTCGCATTAGTGCATCATGCAAAACAGCATGCTAATGCACAGTAGACTTAGTCTAATGTGCATTGTCACAAAAAAGCATTCATCTGTGCTAATGTGCAGTAGTGCGTATTACAGCGCATTAAGCTAGTATCTGTTATTACAGATACTAAACTTAATGCACCATAATTATGGCGCATTAATGAATCCACTCAGTACATAACCATGTTTTTATTTGTGGTTCAGCATTTTACTTCATAGACCCTTGGTTCTGTTTCAGGTCTACTTCCTGAGACACTACTGCATTCTGATTTAAAATGATATAGGTCTTGACAGTACCAAGTGATGGCTTCATCAGGCTTTTCCTTTTTAATGTGCCTTTTGGAATCCTCTAGTATCTTCTATCATTCTGTATACAAATTTTAAGTTTCAGCATATTTCCATTTTCTAGAGCCCCTTGGGTTGTCAAATTATGAAATTAAGCTACAGTACTGTAAAAAAAACCCACACTTCTTCAGATTTTCAGACTGAGGGTCTCTTTTCTGTAATACCTACACTTAAAAACCATGACAAGAATGCTTGAATAGAACAGGTAGTTAACAGTTAATAGATAGGAGTGTGCATGTATGAAGTATGAGTAATGGCCTCTGATTTTGATAGCTTTGAGTTTAGCATTATTGATCTATAGCAACAACAGGGACCAAAAAACTTGTACATTTAAAACAGGAGTACACACCATCTTTTTTTCCCTATACTAGCCTTAGGAAATTTGAGGAAAGGAGGGAACTTATATTCAGTAAGACAAGATGCTAGCCAATAGGAGATAGTAACCTTCAGGCATGCTCAGTAATAAAGAGGTGTTAGCTAGCCATTGCTTGTGAAGCAGTGGTTTATGCTTATTGCTGCTTTTTTAGTGCTTGATTTTTATTTATTTATTTGTTTGTTTTTGTAGGAGTGAAGAGTTGGAGGTTTTCCTGATCTAGCCCTTAAGCTAAGAAGAAATGGAGCAGGTGAGTGTGCTTAACTATCTTTGAAGATTCCTTGTCTCATACAGCTCTGTAAATGTCCTTTCCTTGTCTTGTATCTTCTCCCAGTTCTTCTGGTCACAAGTTTTCTTCAGTACCTATATAACTCTACTGATATCTCTAAGTCTGACCCTGCACTACCTCTCCTGCTATTTTAGGTTCATAAGATTACACAACAGTTCTGCTAGTGTCTTTCTGTCCTGCCCCAAGGGTCTCTTGTTCCATTCCAGCTTGACTGATGGTCCTCAGTCATGATCTACAACTTCCTATCAGTACCCCAATTCTGGACTTTTTTTCTCCTGTCTCAGTTCTGACTTGTATCTCTTGCTACTTTCTGCAATGCTGGGTTCTAGCATTGGCATGTTGGTATTACTATTAGTATTATTCAATTCTGACCTGGGCATGTTTTGTCTTCTGTCTAAATTCCTTACCACTACACTCAGAAATCTCTTATTTTTCCACCCGACAAATCTATTACTGAGTCTCCCTTCTTCCTCAGGATATGCCACCTGCTGGTGTTGAAATGTGGGATTCTAACTACACATCTGATGATGAGGTAAAAACGCCATTTTGTCCATAGATAACAACCCTCTTCCCCCTGCCCCCACCACACACTCTTCAATTCCTATATCTGTGAAGGGATGGTGTTTTGTTTTTTAAATCAAGGTGTGAAAGAGAAATTGCATGTTAAAAACCAATTTAGATCATCTTGCGTTACTATGGTATCTGTATTACTTGATGCTCAACAGCTGACCTGCCAGAGATTTCCTCTTAATTCTTCTGACCCAAACTCTTTGTCTAAGGTTGCATAGTAAGATGCCTGAAAGAGTTCACTTCCCAGAAGAACATTAAGAATAGTTCAACTTATGTTAGGCATACTATTAAATACACAATTATACCCTTAACCAGGTGGAGGAAGCCAATTTATTTTAATGTGTTTTGAATTACTGCTGTCTCCTATGGTAGGCAAACCTGGCCTGTTTTTGCTTGCCTTGATAAGAGCTAGAGCCAGTGCTCCCTATACCTCATGCAGTGATCATGGTAGTTTGGGGTGGCAAAGCTGCTACTTACTAAATTCTTCCTAGCTTTTTCTTCCTTCCCTCAATAAGGGATAATGCCACAGACCTCTAAAGAGTTTACTTTGTACAGCACTTACAGCTTCTTACTCTTCCTTGTTCCTTTCACCAAAAAAGCTAATGTGTTGTGGAGCCCTCTTGTGGCCACAGGGATTGGATGAGTTCAATTCTTCAATTGTCTCTCTGTCTCCAGATCTCCACTAAGAAAGAGCTGCACTTCCGTCTTGGAGAAGATAATTTGGATGATACCCTGGAGTATGACTTCTTGGGCCCAGCCTTGAGGACAGGGAAGTCAGCATCTAAGAAATTGCAGATTGGGGACAGTAACCCAGAAAGTGAGCAAGAAAGTGGCCAGGAGCCTGAGCATCTGGGGCACAATAACTGAAAACCTAGGTTGCTGGGTTGTGTTTTGATCCCAGACCCCATGTAAAGTCACTCAGTATCTTAATTTCTTTGTGGCAAAATACCTGCTTGTCACCTTGTCAGATAGCTTTGGAACCCAAAGTTAAGAAGCAAAAGGCTATATTACTTCCCCCTCCTCCATCTTACCTCAAACCTCTAATACAAATCGGTCCTTCCCCTGATTTGGATAAGAGGCCAGCTTTCTATAGGAGCTTATCAGATTTGAGGGAAGAATGGCAGGGCAGGAAGAGAATTGAGAACATTATCGTACAGGATATAGTGTTTATCATGGGTGACTGGTGCCCCCTAATACCAGGGGTGGGGTTCCCCAGTGGCCAATTGCCAGCGGCAAACCCAGAAGTACTGTCAGCGCTTCTCTCAGTGGGGCATGGCCAATCATAGGGGGTGCATGTGCACCCCCTACACATCGCCAATGGTGTTTATAAATGTTCATGTGCCTGGCTTACTATCTCACTGCCTCAGCTGGTGTCCACAGGTGGAGCAAGCTTTCTCTGAACCTGTACAGATCTAGTTGTGGGATTTGCATCTAAAGCTGCATTTCTAGCATGTAGACCTCCCAATAATAAAGGGGCTAGTAACAAAGATCTGTATTTATGGAAGGCTTGGCCTGTGTATGAAAGTCTTAAGAGTGAACTACTAACTATTGGTGTTCACAGAATCTGCTTTTTAGTTTTAGAAATATCTACTTTCTCTGTCTCTCAAAGCACTTAACCTGTGGTTCCCAATCTAGGGAAATGCAGGCAGTAACCATAAGCCATCTCCACAGTGCTACTGCATATGTTATAACAAGCCTGTAATTATTTTCTTTATTTGTGAAAAGCTCTATCTGCTATCTCAACACAAGTGAATAAGCAGTGTGATTATTTATTTTTTGTTGTTGTTGGGGGGAGAGATAACTGGGCTGTTTTTGTCTGTTTTTTAAAGTTGAATTAACTACTAAACCACTTGTATGCTCTTAAGATTTAAAATAATGGTTTGACATTTTAAACACTTGTTAAATGTTAATCATTGAGTCTGATGGATTTTTAACTTCTGAACTATAGTCAAATTGACAAATAGGGTGGTGGTGGTGGTGGTTGTCTTTCTCCAGCTATTGTGTCTTGTTGATTCCTTTTATCCTCTAGACCAATACAGCTACAACCTGGATATCTTAATTCTTCTATAGATTTCAAGGAACCATTTTCTATTTAAGGGAAGCTTCACATGCCTCTGATGCTAGGCTCTTCACAAATGTAAATTTAAAGCAGTGTAGCACTTAGACAGGTATTGCAATCTACACTACAAACACAGCCTGGTAATAGTATGGCATATTGCCCACTCCTTGTCTCATGACACTAATGCATTGAGAGCTGGGAGTGATCCTATTACAACTGGCAGGTGTATACGTGGTTTTATTTTTATTTAAGCAGTCCAAACAAAATTAAAACTTCTAATTTGGCAAAATCTATAAGGAACCATGATCTAACTTGAAGCACATGTGTACCCTACCCCTTCAGTCTAATTTAGTTTTTGGCAGATACTTTTTCTGATTCTACTCAACCAATACTGCTTTAAATTACTTACTTACTTGTACATGACTCTGCTTGGATATGTATAAGTGAAATGTTAAAATCCTGTGTAAAATGCTTGTTGTAACCTTGCAAACTAAACACATATTTTTGGCATTAATATAAGTAGGCAATAGACAAATCCAGCTGTGGAATCTGTGCAAGCTATAAAACTTTCTGGGGAAACCATCCTGCAGAGCCTTAATTATGCTTACTTGAGCATGATTGAGGATTACTCATTTGAGAGAGACCTGCAGGATTGTGCCCCTTGTAAAATAAAGTCAATCAACTAAATACCAAACACATTGCCAAAAAAAAATACTGTTTAGCTAATACTAAAATACCAGTAATTTTGTGCTGTTAAATAAAAACACGTTAAAGATATAATTCTGCATGTTTAAACATAAAACGAGGAGATGGAGAGCTAAATTGAAGAGTGACCCCAAGGCCAGCCTTCTTCATGTTAGTAATGCACTAGCGCTATGAAAGTCTACTTTTGTGTGAATAGGGATGGTACACTTTTAGTTAGTAAGGACAGCCCTATAAAATTCTGCTGTTTTGACCATAAATGGCTTGTATAAGAGACCAAATACTTCATCTTGAAGTCTGGATTCTAAATTTGTCTTTAAAATAGAGAGCAAACTCACATCTAAAAGGTAACCTGTGTATTACTCATAAAGGAGATCACACAAATAGGAAAGGCCTGTTCTGTTTTACTATTGCTGTCACTTGGCTTACAAAACCACAACAGATGTGCACTAATGAAATGTTGTAGTCTTGGCCCTGATAAAAACACAAAATATCTGGCTCAAAACAAAGTAAACAGGCAAGTACTGCTTGTGGTTAACCCCCTGCAGTCCTAACAGAGGGGTGGAGAGGGAAATTAACCACTTCCCTCCCAGAAGGGGCTATACACATTTTAACACTTTTATATAAAAAGTGCCCCCACTGCCATTTCAAAGTGTGAAGGTGCTGATACACAAGACATGGAGGCTGGAGCAGGGTAATTACCACACTCCAGAAGACTCATTTAATTGAATCTGCTCCAGTGTGCTGTAACTACAGTGTGTTGGAACACCCTCAGGGCTTGTGTAAAGGCACCCTAAACAAAGCTACATATCAGCTAGTACAACCAGCTGCCAGCAGGTGTTTTGTCCTCAGACATCAGGAATACTCAGCTGCAGCAAAGCTATAAAATGAGGGTGACTTTTTTTCTTTTTTTCCCCTTCTAATACAAGCATTGATAATTTAGGAACAAGTAAAATTTGCTTTTTAATCAAGGTTGGGACACAAGATACCTTATTGTTATACACTTGGTAACAGTGCCAAATGGGTAACTTGCTCAGTCTTGTATCTGGTTCTTAACCCACATGCCATCAGAAAGCTAGAAGTGGTCCTGACTCAGATGGGCATACCATTTTGAGCAAAGTTATCTTAAAGACTGGAATATAACCATGTCTGAGTACCCTTCAGTTGGGTAAGGTTTTTCTATATTCTATGTTACTGTACCAGCTTGCAAGAAGGCTAAGTTTGTGCTATGTGAGAGAGCTTATTTTAGCAAGGGTGACCATACATCCCAATTTGGCTAGGACAGTTCCAGTTTCTGAAGGTCTGTCCCAGCTGACAGACAAAAGTTAAAATGAGCTTCTCAGGAGTGGGGCAGGGAGATGGAACGGCAAGAAGTATGAAGTAGGAAGCCCTCACAAATAGCAAAATTGTCATATAGTAAGATAGCACAGGGGTGGGCAAAATATGGCCTGGGGGCCAGATCCAGCCCACCAGGTAATTCCATCCGGCCTGTGGTGCCCCTCCATAAGCCCTGACCCATGCTGTCCTTCTACAAGCTGGTGCCTCCATACAGAAAGTGCAGCTCTGGTTGCAAAGCAACCACCCCCCACACCCCAGCCTGGCCTGACTCGCCACCCAAGCCAGAGGGTGCCAGAGACGAGAAGCCTTTGCCTGGCAGAGGCTTTTACCTCAACACCCCAAGGCTGTTTCCAGCCCTCCCTGCTTGTGAGCCTGGAAATGCAAGTAAAGGCCCCACTGTGCTGGGGCCAGGGCCTCCTGCTGGAGGAAAGGGGATGGAAATTCAGGGTGCTGCATGCTATGGGGTAGGGCTGGCCCTGCCTGCTGCCACTACATGTGGCTTAGGGCTCAGGTGGGAGCACTGTTAGGCTGGGGGTGGGGCTGGCCATGGATGCCAGGGACTTGGGTGGGAGCTACATGTTACAGGGATTGGTAGGGCTGGCCCCACATACTACCACCACCCACGACCATGGATGGGGCAGGAGCATGAGAGCCATGTGCTGTGGGGCTGGCCCCACACCTTGCCACCATGTATGACCAGGGACTCAGGCAGGAGTGCTATTGGGCCAGGTAGGGCTGGCACTGCATGCTGCCACCACCTGCATCTGTGGACTGGGGTGCGAGCATGGGGAGTTGTGCACTATGGGGTTCGGCAGGACTGAACCTGCTTGCTGCCACCGCATGCAGATCCAGCGACTGGCACAGTCCAGAGACTCTCAGGGGTTAAGGGCAGGACTTCTGGTCCCAAGATGGTGACCAGAGGGCAGGGCACCTGTCAAGGGGTGGGGCTACCCTTGTGGCCCTCTACAGGGGATGTTAGTATGATTAGTGAAATGACCATCAAGAAGGGGAGATGATTAACACCTGTGAAGTAAAGAACACTAGGTCATTAACAGGCCACTGACTCCCTTAGCTGCCTAAATAATAATACCAGAGCTGGAATATGCTACCCTGCCTCTGCCTGCAGCACTTCTGACTTAAGGGGTGGGGGAGCAGTGTCTTGAATTTCACATGTGACTATATGCTCACCCTAACTTTAGCTACCATTTCCATTGCTATTACATGATTTGAGTTTTCAAAATTAGAATTTGCACGAATTGTTTTGTTTCCAGATACAGTATTATAAAGCAACCTGCATGCTCAGTAGACCAGAGAGTATGACCTTGTATGTACTGTGGGCCCTAATATGTTCTCAGGGAGGTACACGGGAAAATGTCGCCACTTTCCCAATTTGCTGCACAGGAATGGCCTGTAGTAATGGCAAACTGCAAAAGTACTGTGCTTTTCTTACAAATAGCAGCTAGTGCAAACTTTTTTTTTTTCTTTTAGGGTGAAGTTACATGTTAAGCTTAGGCCATACTAAGACACTTGAACTGCAAGCATCTGCACACTAAAGCTTGTTAACTCATGCTAAGTACTGACTGAGTGACACAGTTACACTACTTCAGTTGAGGGTTAACTTTGGGCTGTACTGCCTAGCTCATGTTAAGGTAAGTTCAGTCTGCTTCATGAAGATAAAGTGAGCAATTTGCAGTCTTCCAGCATCTATGGCTGCACCAATCCCAGCCATCCTGCCCCACCCAGAGCTGGGAGACAGCCCAGGTATCCTGGCCCCTAATCATGTCCCTGCTCACCAGCCCTCAAGTCAGAGCCATGCAGTCAAGAAATGATATTATCCCTTAGTGTACAACTGTTCACAGCATTTTCTAATTTTAATACTAATTAACACTTCACATACTTAATACAGTCTAAGTTTAATCTGTAATTTCACCCTTAGTGAAATGGATGTGTTCATCTTGATCTATATGAGAGACACTTCCACATTTTGCCCAGAGCATGGAACACATTCACAGGCTGACTCTCACCTTTTGGGATGTTCTTTGGGATTGCCCAAAGAGCCTTAATAATTCCATCCAAAGTGTGTCAGAAATTACAGGAAATGGGAGAGTCACTGTGTTCTCTGCTTTGACATGATGATATGTGAATTATCTAGGGGGATTTGAAACACTTAAATCAGATTAGATAAAGGGAGGACAGTTGATGGCCATTTTTACATGTGCTCCATGACACAGAACTGGGTGCTTTAATTAGCGAGCTATGCTAATTAAAAGTGCATGCACATCATGTGTATTAGTGTCACAGCATGTCCCTGTGCTGGAAAAATGGTGGCGGGAAGCTTTGAACTAAACCTTATTGGATGTTTCATATTTCAAGTTGCCCTGCTGCCATTTTGTCAGAGTAGAGATGCTGATACACGTGGCATGCAAGGCTGCTGAGTGCATCAATTTCCATGCTTCAACAGACTTGATTAATTGAGTCTGCTCCAACATTCTGGAAGCGTGTTGGAGTAGGCTCCCTACATGTGTATAGGAGCCCAATGTGCTAATAAAAGTGTCTTGGTACGGATGCTTAATTCACACACAATATCCCACATAGCACTCTTGGGTCTGCCAAAGGACCTAAGTTGGACTTGAGGGTATGGATTCAATGTCTATAATACAGAAAAGGGTATTTGCTTTCTGTCTTCATGGTTGCTGGTTTGCTGTCTAAAGTGGAGTAAATGTCTGGAATCTTTGCAGTGTCCACCACCTAGTTACTAGATGCTGAATGATGTAACCCTTGCATCTTTCCAATAGGTTTCAGAAAACAGCAGTAAAGCTGGGCTGTGCCCTTGCATACAGGAAATGAGTTCACACAGTGTCCAGGGATTCATATCTGAATGGCTTAAATTCAACCTGGTGTAGTGTCTTGTGTTTTCCTTGCTTTTTTAAAATGACCTAAGTACTATTTTATTTCTGTTGTGCCTTTTTGATCAATGCTTAGATCTTCATATGGCAGGTAGTGATGTAAGAATAGATTTTTTTTTTTGCTGTCCTTAGTCTACAAATCATGACTGGAACTAGTCAAAATGCTTTTTTTCTCCTTCCTTTTAGATTAAAAATAAGTTTAATACTACCCAAAATTCCGAAAGAAATATTTTTACCAGCTCTTATGATGAATACAAGACTGATACCTAGAAAAGGAGATGTAATGTGCAGATTATTTTTGACATCATAAGTATCTGAGAGTGCAACCTATTTTTGTTGTCTTTCTTTGTAACTTAACTCTGTTTCATTAGAATAAGAGAAAAATACATATTATAAAAATAAAATTTAAATTTCAAGATTAACTTAAAACAAGACTTTTTACTGCACCTTGAGGTGTCCCATCTGTTCTGTGCTACATCAAACTTTATTTTTGCTTCTATTCACAAATTCCAGCAGGAAATATCTTGTTGTCTTTGTGAAAATTAGAATAATTTCCATTTTCAATTACTATTGAGTGCGCAAAACACTGATGTAAAGGGCATGAGTCATCATTGGATAATCTTTTATAATTTTGTTTGATGTGACATAACATCAGTTTAATAGTCTGGCTTTGAGCATCACATCATGTTCAATGATAGGTCATTAATGTTACATCAGTCTTTCTTGTTATCTGTGATCAGTGCACTGTACTTTTTCTGCTGTAAGTGATCTGCCTTAGCCTTCAATACCAAATAATTATACAGCACTTCAGAAGTGATGAGTGAAATCATGTGATAAGAAAAAGCAAAAATGTGATGTAAATGTTAAACATGTTGCTGCAGTAAGAGATGTGGAAAACTCTCACTAAGGCTAGCTACAGACATTCAAAAAGCCCAAGGCAGAATCAATCTAAATTGTATGTGCTTTTCTGTAAGCAGCATAGTTTAGCTCAGTAGTAAACAGAACACACACATGCTTTCATAGGAGGGAGGCACAAATCTTAAACCACCTTCCACCATTTTTAAACCAGTCTGTGCACCGAACTTCTATTCTGTTAATGGGTATAGATCAGTTTCCAATCATTTATACTGGTAAAAGTGTAATGTCTGTACCTCCATCTAAAATATATATATATATTATAAAGAAGCCGTATCTTTTTTAATGGTCAGTTTGGAGAATGGGGCTTGAGTAGGTACAGGGATGAAGCCTGAAACAGCTTCCCTGTCAAACTTCTGGGACTGGGATATGTCTGTAGAAAGATATAGATGAACAGGGTGTCCATGTTCCCAACCTCAGTAGGACATGCTACTTCTATGAGAGAGAGAAACTATTATTTGCCAGCAAAACAAGCATAGGTTAAATGTCCCAGTCTCTTAATCTCAAGTTCTTTCCTTTTATTTCTAGAGGCCCCTGAGACACTGTGACCTTGGAGGTCCTGTCCAATGTATTCCTATTTCACTGCAGCAGATCAGACACATCAGTTATCACTGGCTGAGCAAAGAAGTTATCTCATCAAACAAAGATGTATGTTAACCTGGCCTGATCTGTTTGATAAACTGATAGGAAGTTTCATGGTTGTTTTTCTAGGGTGTTTTTTTGTTTTGTTTTTATCCCATTTGTCTTTGTCTCTGTCTCTTTCCTGGTATCTTACAAGCTTTGAAGGATAAAACCAAATGATCATCAGACTTTGAGTTGAGTTTTCCCTAGAAAGAGGAAGTCTGTAAGGTAATAGTCGGTGAGTTCTGTATGGACTCACCCCCCTTCCCCAGTTTCTGAGCTGTAGATGACATGGGTATGTTAAAGCTCCCAGCTTGAGAGGCTGGCTATACTTAAGGCTGTAGATTAGTGAATTTTTTTTCAACCAGGGTGCTCTGGCACCTTGGGGTGCCTTGAAATCCTTTTAGGGGTGCCATACAGTGCAATACACAAAGAAAAATTACTCAAAATAAATTCAGAGATTACAGTGTAGGAATCTACAGTGTTAAAATTATTCTGACCTGTTATGGGCTTTCTAAGCCATTTGAAATAGCAGAATTGTTCTATTATTTTCCTGTAGTCAAAAAGACGAGTGAAAACTAAAAGCTGGCACTTTCTGAGGGGTGTGGTCGAGAACCGCTACTGGAGAAAATGGTTGAAAACCACTACTGTAGAAACTTATGCTTTCAGCTCTTAAGGTTCACTTTGCTTCATCCTAGTAATTAACTAAGAAAGTCACTGTCACACAGGGTGGCCATTGATCCTGTTTTATACCAGGCTGTCCTGTTTTTTAAACCCTTTCTCCCCTGTCCATTTCTAAATGAGGAATAGACTACAAAAAGTCCTGTTAGACAAAAATTCCAGTGGAAATGCATGTCAATCACTTGTCCTAAAGTAATTCTATTGGCTGTGCCTAGAGGTAGGGTGGTTCATAGCCAGGAGGAGCAGGGTTCTGAGCCAGTCAAGGAAGAAGGGAGGGACGTCGCTGTGTAGTGGTTCTGTCCCTTGCTCCTGATTGGCCAACGGGCCTGTTACATTGCTGATTTGGAAAGGAGACAGCAGCAGCCTCACCACTGATTGGCCGACAAAGCCAGTGGCTCCTCCCTTCCCCCACCAAGGGGATGTCCTGTATTCTGGAGGTGGGTCAGTGGCCAGCCTACTGTCACATAATGGAAGGATCTGTAGGCAAAGACTATAATACCTCTGCTCTGGATTAGCCAGAAGGGAATGTATCTATTTGCATATTTTCTCAAGTACCTATTGGGAATCAAACAAAAGAACAGGATTTGTTGATTTCACTTCAAGGAGTGATATGCTCCTCTATAGGAAGAAAAATTCTTCTTGAAATCCTTCTTTTTGTTTGCTTGCTTGTATCTGTTCCTTTTTTTTTAAACAGCAGCATACTTTTAAAGTAGTTGTCTTTTAATTTTTATGTTTCTAATTTCTTTCCTATAAAAATATTCCAGTTTAAATCAGTGCAGGAAGAGAGGATTATCTGAATAGTAGGGTATACCACACTGGAGTCCATTAAACCATTCTAATATGAATTAACCTAGGATCGATTTTGCATGTGTTATGGGTATGGACACAGGTGACACTTGGGTTTAAACTGCATTTAAACTTGTCTAAAGCAGACATGTACAAATGTTTTAATACAATTCAATGCTACCTGGAACAGTTTAAAAGTGTATCTGAAAAACCTAGTATGCTTTTTGAACTGATGCAATGTTACATGTAGATGCCAAGTATACAGGCTAGATGGACCTTCCAGGCATCCCATACTGCATCATTCTTCCATCCCTCCCCTTCCATTCTGGTACGTAGATAGAATTCTGTTTTTTCTCTCCTCTCTTGGCACTTCTTATCAATAAAATCCTTTGCACTGCTTATTCAATGAAGGCTACTACTCTAACAAGCTATGCCTGTGCCCCCTAGTCAGTCTTTCCCCTTCATGATGCTCCTACAGTCCAAACACTCCCTCCTCTCACCTCAGTCAGGCAAGCACACTGCAGACTTCCTTCCACTGTAGGCTACTGAAGTTTATTGAACCAATAATTAGTAATGAAGGAAAAATGCACTCCCCATCTGCAGGTCACAGGTGCCCTAGAGTTCTGAAAGCATGTGTGCAAGCCTTTCTTTCCCCTGTGCTTGCTTACTGGAAAGTAGGCTGAATTGGATGATCACTCCCACTCCCTGGTGTCATAGTCCTGCCAGTTTGCAGAATTCATAGGAAAGTAGGCCTGGAAGGGACCTGAAATCCATCTAGTTCAGACCTCTGCTCCAGGCATAATAATCCCTAACTAACTCATCCCAACCAAGGGTCTGTCCAACTTGCTATTCAGAATTCCCAGGGAAGGCAATTCTACAGTTTCTCTAGGTACCTTGTTACAATGCTTGACTATGATTATAGTGAGAAAGTTCCTCCTAATCTCCATCCTAAATTTCCTCTTCTGCATCTTGAGGTCACAGAGACAAGCTCATCTCCATCCTCTCTGTAATCACCCTTCAGATATGTGAAGACTGTTAATAAATCCCCTGTAAGTAGGGTTATTTAGTCTTGGGGAGGGAAGACTTCTTTCAATCTGCACTCATAAGTAGAGGCCACTAGAATTTGTAATGGAAATGCACTGCATGGCGGCTTCTTTAATCTTACAGTTTCATCACCTGCTCACGGATCCCCTCGTGACTGATTGATGGAGGGGCCCCACCTCTTGCCGCTGACCAATGGGTAGGCAAATACTGTGGTTTTAAATATACCACAGTTTTTGCCTCCTGCTGCTGATTGGTGGAGGGGCCCTGGCAACCCCACCACTAGCTGCTGACCAGACAGGAGACAAAACTGTGGCATATTTAAAACTGTAGTTTTCACCTCCCAGCCATCAGGAGCAAGCAGCAGGGCTGATGGGGCCCTTCCACCAATCAGCATCAGAGGGGCATGTGGGGGAAACTTCAGGATGAAAGGAGCCACTGCACAGCTCAGTTCTGTTGTGAATTTGTGATTTTACGCATAAGTCGTGCTTCCCAGGCCCTTAGCCACTTTTATTACCCTGCGCTGAACTCCTTTCAGTCTGTTTGCATCCTTCTCAAAGTGTGGGGCCCAAAACTGAGCACAATACTCCAGGTGAGGCCTCGCCAGTGCTGAGTAGAGTAGAAAAATTGCTTCCCTTAATTTGCAAGTGCTGTTCCTGTTAATACAGCCCAGGATGCTGTTGGCTTTTTTGCAACAAGAGCACACTGTTCACTTGTATTCAGTCTATGGCCTACTGAATCCTCAGGTCCTTCTCTGCAGTTTAGCAGACTAGCCAGACTTTCTGAAATCTGTATTTATGCATGCATTTATACCATTCAAAGTACAGGCCTTTTCACTTGCCCTTGTTGAATCTTACATGACCTATTGCAGGGAGATCAAAAACAGTGTCAGGAGCATGTTTTATCCAAAGTCATCTCAAAGGCCTTATTTGCCTATGATTCAGTCCTCTTCTGCTCTGTATCCTTTGTGATGAAGAAAAGGGCTCAAGGGAGACATGACCCTTATTTGTACATAGTGCAGAAGACTGTACCTAAGGATAGATCCAATGCTCATTAATGTCCAAAGGAAAGGTTACCATTAACTTCAATAAGCAAGGCTACCATTAACTTCAATAAGCTCTCAATGGGTGTGTCTAAGTGTGCTATTAATGCACAGAAATAAACTGTGGAATTTATTTTATATAAACTGTGGCTCCACAGTTTATTGCACCCAAGAACCTGCTGCATTTACACATGCACCTAGACTGCAGCACAATGAACTGGGTCGCAGCAGGGGTGAGGCAGTGTGCTCCAGAGGGGCACTGAGTGCTTCAGCGTGAGGCTAGCCAGCAGGCAGCCCTTGCACTGAAGCACCCTCATGCCCCAGCCAGCTCAGTCAGCATCTATACATGCACTGTTGAGCATGAAAAAACTCCACATCAGGGTAGTACTTGTATTTACAGTTTTCAGAATGTCATCATGCTTTCTTTGCCATGTAACAAGAGGAATTGGAGTTCTTTTATTTGTGAGAAGTATATTATTGAAAGGTATGCAATGCAAATATTGCTGCTCCCCAAATATGTATATTCACCTGAAACTATTGGAAAAAATCCAGTCTGAAGGAAGAATACTGCATAATATTGAATGTATCCAATTATTTGTTTTAAGTTATCACAAAAGGGCTGCATTTAGTGATAAGCAAAACAAAGAAGAAACAGAGAGAGAAATCAAGGAAGCACAAATGAAAAAATTAAACAATCTGTCTCCATAGTTCTTAGGAGTATAAAGAAAGATATAGATCCCTTAAGAAGGAAGACAGGAATAATATATTATTCCTATGACATACAGTCTATTTATATATATAAATGGACTGTAAGTCCAGTGCAGAGATCATCATAAAGTAACAATCATATCTAGAGTAAGCATTGCCTATGTCATCTTTATTAAAATTGTCAGAAGAAAGCAGAGACCATCTATAGAGTCAATATATCAGAACTCAAGAATTATCTCACTTTTTTTCTCTTTCAAAACACAAGATTCTGTACAGTTTGTGTATATAACTTTGACAGTTCTGAGAATAGAGCAGATAAGAAAATTGGATTTCCATCCAGCAGTAAATATCCAACACTTATTTTTATCCTGAGTCATAGCAAAAAATTAAGAGAGAAGTAAAGTATGGGAATTACTTGTAAAATAAAGAGTTCCAAAAAATGTATTTACAATAATAATTCCTATGAAATTGTAATATCCTTCAGTGGCTCAAGTACATAGACATGTCAATCTAACCTAAAATAAAGTGCTTTGGTTTTTTGTTTAGATTTTCCTGGTTGAAAATTCCACCAAAATCAATTTCTTTCATACTGAACATACTAGTTCAGACAAAACTCCACTTCTGTTTAACAGTACTACTCTGGAATTCACCTCCTAAACCAGTGGTCTCCAACCTCTTTAAGTCAGAGATTACCTTTGGCATTTAAAAGCAACTCAAGATCTACCATGCGCCATGCATCCCCATTCCCCCCTGCCCAGCAGGTAAGTCTGTGGTGAGGGAAGAAGGTGGGGTAGATAGAGGCAGAGGGAGAAAACATTATTTGGGGGTGCACCTCCCCAGCAGATTAATCCCCACCCATCTTGGGCCCCCACTCAATTTACCCCTTCTCCTGCCTCTGCAGCACTGTCCCTCCCCATGGGGGCTTTGATCTAGCCCTTGCCTCTTCCCTCCCTCCCCCATGGACTGACCTGCTGGCCTGGGGCACATATGTGCATGCACATGGGTACTCAATCCCCCACCCCAGCCTTGGATCGACTCCAAGAAGCTCCGAGATCTGAGGTTGGTGACCATTGTCCTAAACCCTCTCTGTCCAAAAGTGACTGAAACACAAAATGAAAGATGCCAAAAAATATTTATATGACAGAAACTGAAATTATTGTAAGGTTTGTTTAGTAAAAGTAAGATTTTTTTTTTTTTGCATAATCTTAGTTTGTCGAGGTTTTTTTTATTTCTGATATCAATAGATTTCATTGAC